CCCTTTTGGTTTTCTTTCTTGAGAATGACAAACGTATCATCCACATATCTATGCCAAATTCTGTGTTGGCATTGAAAACGTCATAATACTCTCTCGTTCAAAGTTTTCATATAAAAATTCGCTACAACTGGAGATGTTAGTGAACCTTTTGCAATTCCATTATCTCTAACTGTGAAATATGTGGATTCTAGGCATAGGTTTAGTGATTTTATAATATCCTCCTTTGAAAGTGGACATTCTTGGTCATCATTAATTGCAAATATTACACTATCTTGGCATTCATTTATTGAACAACAAACCGCCTAACCCATAGCCTAGATGCTCTTAATGTTTGATGTACTGTTTGACTATACGTATATTGATTTCGATAAAAATTCATACATTCTGCTGAAGAAGCTGTAGCTTACAGTGAAACGTTCAGAAATATCTTTTAATTTTCTAAACATGCTGGAATTATGTTAAAATATACCCTCATAATGGTTAAACAAGACTCTGTGCCCACTTCTTCCAAGACACTCGTAATAACTATGGTCTGAATGTTTTGTAGTCTTAATTTATGAAAGTCTAGGACTTTTGGATGTGCTACTCAGAAGTGTCATTTAACCGAGTTAGTTTTTTCTGTTTTACCTTTGCAGACTATGAATACGCGCAAAGAATTAACCTAACTTTTCCAATAGATAACTGAAAAGTTTTATTTAATTCAGTCAAATATACAATGGTTTGTTGGTGTCATTTTATCACGTAAACTGCTGCAGGATATTCCTGCTGACCCACCTATGTACCACTCGCTCTTTCGGGATAAAACTGGAGAAAACTCAAACTTAGATGATACGGTTGGTAGAACTTCTGTCCGAAGTTTACCTCCGAAAGCTTTGGGGGGACCCAATCCAAATGAAAGGAAACGCCTGGAGAAAAGAAGTCAAGCCTTACATATACAGTTGGTGATGCTGTAGAAGCATCTGGTTTTGGAGGTTTTCAGCTGAAACTATTTGTATTATGTGGTGTCATATCAGTGAGTGATCATTTTTGTGCGCTTTGTTTGTTTAACATGCTGATAATTGTCAGTGGTATTTATTTTGCAATATTGGTGTAATATTTTGAAAAATAACTTCAGTGTTTTCGTGATCCAGAGTCCTTTCTTTGGCGTTTATCTAATATGATTCCCAATAGGATCAGAAATTGTAACTGTCTTAAAAAATTGCATACTGCACCTACAGTTCTGATATGCTTAAGAGGTAAAAACTAATTTTTATTTTTGTATGGATCTCAACAGCTTTTAGTGAAATAGATAGAAGAATGTGATTGAAACAAACTTAAAGTGGGTAACAAGAAGAGTTCGTGATATAGCGTCCTAGTGACATCTCTAAATGGGATTAGATCAAAACCTTTAAAATTTACTTCAAATGGATTTGCATCTGAAACGATTCAGGGTAGTTCGACTAGTATCAACATAGCCCGATATCAAAGTGATTTAAATGGTTTCATTGGGTAAAAAGGTTCACATTAAGACGCATACTACTGATGAGCTCAAGAGTGTAGTGAAGTTTCATCCTTTTAGCAGAGAAAAAGATCTTTATTCCTGGTATCAGTTATTATTCGCGACTTCCAAGATTTATCGCCTCTTTGTTTCTTCATGTTAGCTTTCTTCTTTTGTCATTTGCTCAAATTGATTTTCCGCTGCCAACTCTGGGGTCAAATTTTGAGCAGTAAAATTAGAACTAACTGGAAATAGAATATTGCATTAAAGTTTTCAGAGTGAAGGGTATCGGAGTCTATTAGGTTTGCTAGTATTCCGCAGCCGGGTTGCTATGAAAAAGGTAATTACTGAAAAACGATCATTTTTATGATCTGGACCGCAGTAGACAAAATCGTCGTTTGAAAATGGAAAGGTGCACAGCAACTTTGTGCACATTCATGGTTCAGGCGATGAGCCACACCTTTTGTGGGAGGTCTAATGATACTACCTGACTGACTGCTCAAACCCCGGTAGGTAGATCGGTGCTTGAATCCGCGACCCACTGGTCGGAGGTCAACTCCCTAAACCATAAACACAACTGGAGTTTTATTTCAGCAGCAGATAGAATAAAACTGGGAAGTACTCAAACAGTTCTCAAGCCCTAAATGAACCCAACATGAAAATAGTCGAATGCCTCTGAAGTTACAACTAACAGTCTAGTCTTCAGATAATTATTGTTTTTTACATATACTTCTGGATGCCTTATGAGTTTTTGCCTAATAGCTACTAGTTTAAATAACTTGATGTGTTGATAATAAAAAACCTACCAAATTCAAGCTAACTATCTCTATAATCACCCTCTATACCCATTTCATACGGTCATCTTTAAGTTCATTTGCACTAATGAGTGTAATGGAATGCAAAATAATGAATTTAGTATATATTTCAAATTTCCGTAAGGGGATAGATATTCTTAATAGAAAAATCAGTAAACTCAAATTATCTACTCTGTATATTTTAATTAGCGAAAGCACCATTTGTTAGGGTTATAATTTAATTTAATTAGTTATCACTAAAATAAAACGTTTTGATATACCTCTAGTCAACTGATATCCTTCTTGGAGTGTTTTAGACTTTTAATTTTTCATAGCTGACGCATCCGCCTTAGTTAACCCTTTCAGGTTTTTTTTATCACTAATTACTAAGGTGGTTTTCCTGCTTCAAGCTTCTAGTGCTCACTTCTCAAAATCTGTTAGATATTAAATTAGTATTTGTTTCACTAAGACCAATGCTTGTTGTGCCCCAAATAATGCAGCAAGGTGTTTTCCTCGCAGTTGAAGATCACGTTCTCAACTTTCAGTAATATTGCTGTCGAGGTACTTTTTCTCCTGTATTGATTAAAATCATATCAGATTCACAGTTTCAGTATTATTTGACTGGTAGAAATCGTATTCAGTAATGGTGAATACTTTTACCCTACGGCTTTTCGGAAATTTTCGAAATTGTTTTAGATATTTTGAAAACACAACTGGTTTTCTTCATTTGTGTGAAATCATTGCAGCCAGTATCTGCTATAATTTTTGTTGCATACTGTAATCTGTATTTCGATGGTGGGTAGATGATATTCACTTCCTGAGAGCCGTAGCTTACTTACACTCGCATTGTTTGAGTTATTTAACAATTTCGTGTGATAATTCACTCTCTTGTGGAGCTGTGACTTTGTACTTTAGGTACTCGACTTTCAACTAGTGGGTTATAAACTCAAATCCCTCTCCATTCACCATAGTTTTGCAATTGTTTAGTATCGCTATCATTTACATAACAGACATTTTTCACAGCCTAACACACAAACTTGCGAATGATTGTCAAGTTACAAACGTCTACTATATCGTGCCGTTGTGGCTCAGTGATTTACGGAGATGACATTCAACCAGTGGGTCACGGTTTCGAGTCTCGCTCTGCCCATCGAGGTTTAGGGAGCTAGGTAGGATCATCAGCCCTTACAAAATAGGTGTGGCTCATTGCCTACTGCACGAATGTGCACAGGGTTAACTAGTGCATTTCAAATCTTTAGAAAATATAATAGAATATGTCTTGAGTTTGAATTTTTGAAAAAACTTTCTTGAAGGTATTTTTCATTTCAAACTTGAACTTTTGGAAGGATTGTTGAAAAGTTACTGTGTTCCCGAGATCTGAAGACTATAATTTCTATCTTGTTAGGGCTTGCTAGTTTGCTTAATGGGAAAAATCGTAAACTAGGAAAAAAAACTGTACACTACTCACTGGTTTCCTGGTTTCCTGTAGATTATATCTATTTGTGATGAACACTATCTGCAAACCAACCAAATTTATGAAAACTTGAAGAAGTAGATAGAGCAAGCTATTTATGCTTTGTTTGTTGTCTTATCCATTGTTCTGTTAAGAAGTTTATAAACTTGAAGTGATACGCTGATTTGGGAAGCTCAGAATTACTGTTTACCTTTATCAATCTTTTTTCTCTTGTTTGCTATTTGCCCAAAATTCCTGATTATTACTGTTACTTATCTCATCAGTCATTTTGTACTTTTCTATCAGTTCTTCGTAAAGTTTTCTGAGTGCAAGCGTAATCCACGATAAGGACATCCAGTTAACTGTTTTTATAATTTGTTTCATCACATTTATCAAGTTAAAGAATATTGCTATCTTTTTGCTTACAAATCTAAATCACATGTTCAATTGGTACACAGTTGAGTGTGATGGTATGTTTAGCTTTCGTTTGATGCTATTCTTCCCCTCAGGTGCATTAAACAGCATACAAGATATGATCTACTTTTGTTCTTAGGCTGCAGATGCTATGGAAATGCTTCTACTTTCGGTTCTTGGCCCAGCTTTACGATGCTACTGGCTTCTGTCATCTGGACAAGTTGCTGCCATAACTACAGTGAGTATAACCCGTTTTTTCTGTATATTTTCTTATAGGTCAGTTACTTTAAAGTTTGAGTAATGTGATAAAACGACACCGTTTTTCTGAAAAATGTGATGTATTTGCGCAATACATTCCAAACAATCAGGTCACACACTTATCAAGGACTTCATATGACAGTAAAAATGGAGGGGGGTAAGGTGAATAAATTAAGACGATAGATGTAAAAAACAAAGGATGAATAATATATTTTCATAGCCTTTTGTCATTAAAATAAAATTAAGATTACCAAGGAATATTTAAGGTAAGAACAAACTGTTTTTGCGTGCACTGAGAGGGATTGAAATTCCGCATAGTTAGTGCTTTTATAAACCAAAGTATATGGTAATTCCACCTATAAAGCAAGCTAAACTGGAATTGCAATCTACTAGTGTTCAAGTTTTACTCGTATTTTTGAGTATACGGTCGTGACGGCTCTTATATGATGGTCTAAGGGCTATTTTGGGGTCAGTCGTATTACCTGTTCTATAATGTGTTTACTTCCAGACGCTGATTTCTGTTTGCCCCTTGGACTTGTCGGACTGCTCGAATATGGCTTCTTCTCCAACCACTTAGGGATATATCTCACAACCTTCAACGTCATAGTTCAATTACCTCTCTCAATGTACATATACGTACACACCTATATCAATTGGTGTATACAACGAGGTATCACATGGTCATTTCTGTAGCGACGAGATGCATGTTAGAGAATGGGTTGAGAGATAAGTTAGGCTGCATAGTACGTTCTTTTAACAATTGAATTAAGCCTTCATTCTGTTCGACTCCCTCCTTTACGATAGCCTAATGTACATGTCGTTTCTTGGGACGGAACACCGAGTGGATTGCACCTATTGATGAACTTCAAGAGATATGCGTTATTCAGCAATGTTTCTGTTACGAGTCTGATTTCTTTTACTGTATCCATTGTGCAGATACTGGGTCCTCTTAGATATGCACTTTACTAAACCCCATTTGTTCTGCATTGGACATATGTTGTGAAAGATCAGACATTGTCTGGTTCATGTAGGTTTTCTGTACGCTTTTCTTTCTATATATCTATTCACTCTTGTAGCCAGTAATTTTTCAAGAAAAGGCAGGTGGTTGCTGTTTTCTACGTCACATAATAAATTGATATGGCTATGTATGTTAAGTCTCTCTAATAGGCTTGGTGCGTCTTCATGTCTGCTGGATATTACTAAGATGTCATCAGCATATCTCCTGTACGAACTAACTTTATCGATAAAGTCCACAGGTGAAATTTTAACATGTGACATACAGTCACCAGATAACAATGGTCCTAAAGGAGTACCCACAGCGACGCCCTGACAAGTAAACGTATGATCTAGTTGTTCGAAGTAGGTTACAAAAATATACCACATTTCTCAAATAAGATGAATCTTCTTACTATGTTATGCAAATTCATCAAAGGGACTGTTTTAAATGTTTTAAAGTTTTTTTTGTTGGATTGGTGGGATTTGAGATGAAATTAGACACCCTTTTCTAGATTTGTTAGTCACAAACAAGTTTTTGTTTTGACTTCTAACTAATAGGGTAAGACGTAAAAATCCAAGAAGGAATGTAGTTTTACAGAGGTAGTTGGATCTAAGTAGCAACAATAGGGAGATTTTCTTCGTGGTTGTTCTTCGATCTTCAGCGTTATTTTGCGAAATTGGTAACTCTGAATCATTTTATCCGAACCAATTAGATTTGTAGACAATGATTTAAGTGAAATCTCGACTAAACGGTAAATAATTGATGAAGAGTAACCATAATAGTTGACCATACTTATCTTTTATATCTTCACCTCCAACTATGAGGTAGACATCAGTAGCACTGCTTGTATATTCGTTGTATAATCCCTATGAGACTTATTTAAATGAACAAGATAAATTTCTTGGGTTTAATTCGTATTTAGTAGGAACGTTTCATCTACAGCAATTCCTCACTTTTAATGCTTATAATCCGGGTGATTTTCTGGAAGAAAAAAGAAGATAGAGAGAAGTGTACTGTCACTTAGAGTCAAGAAGTTTCACAAAATCTTTTGTGCGATACGGTTTCTTTTTATGAGATACCTAAGTCGGAATAATCTAAATATTTATGGGGGAGGGGTAGTCTGTCTTTTTTTGTCTACTCTATTGTTTCTATGTTCTCATTATTTTCTGTGCTATTTTTCGACATATATTGTCTTTATCAGTGATTAGTTCAATCAGGTGCATTGAACTCAGTTGCATTAAATAATCTTACACATAGGGTGATGCATAGTGGATGGATTGTTTATAGGTGCGTCTACGTGGGAGACTTGTTCTGCGTAGTATTCAGTGCTTTAACGTACGGTCAACAATGTAAATAGCCTAATAATATCCACTAATGCATCTCTTCAATATGGGTGAGATCTTAAGGCCTGGAGACAAAAATGCGTAGAACTGAAATGAGATGGATTAACAGGGAAACTGTATTAGTTTGATACAACTCAAAGGGGTAGTCGTGTAGCGATGATACAGAATAGTATCTTCGAATAAGGCGCAGAAAAATAGCAGTAATAGTATTACTGCTGCTAGTCAAATCGGAAAAGAAGAACAAGTGGAAGCACTTTTCATTGATTCCCATTTATGAGAAGTGAACGACTACAAACAAAAAGCTACCATTTATTAGGGCATATTTTAAACAGTTCGATATAAAAAGGTGTTTTCTGATCGAAAGTAAACTAGCCCTAACTAAATGCTAACTTCAGCATCGACATACCACAAGACAAACAGGATGGAAATCGTGTCATGCTCAATTTGCAGCGCTACATGAAAAGTAAATAAATCCTGATTAATTGAATTGATTATAAGGCGTACCGTGTAAGATCTTAGGCTGATTAAAAGTTAACATTGATTTATAATTCTTGAATAAGTGCACATTGACTTTATGAGTCCATTTGGTGTTTTACCAGAACCTTGGTCATACTTCTCTCATCCTTTTGACAACCGATCTATATGGATAGTGAATTAGGTAGCCTTTGGGTGTGCCTACCACAGTGCTTCAACCATCATATTCTATACTGGTTGATGAGAACTTATTAGACCCATTGACTAGGCTAAATTTCATATTTTTGGTGGTGATTTTAAAACATTGGAAAGATCATTTTGTTGGCGTTAATGAGTTTGTATATATTTGTACGCGATATTTATATGATGCTGAATAAATTTATTTGTGCTTTTCAGGTTGTCTTCGCTGGATTTTTATTTGGTGCTCCTTTATGGGGTTTTATCGCTGATAGATTTGGTCGTTGGCCAGTAAGCTTTTGTCATAAATTGTTCACTCAGACATTCATGGTGATACTTGATTAAGTAATCCTGTTAATAAATCGCACACCGATTGTTATTCTCTCAATTCATAACTCAGCAAAAAATATCTTTCATTTTGAAGAATCACTTTCAGAAACTGTACACTTGTATATATGATTAGAAAGGGAAAGTATGCTGACCAATGACTGATAGGTTAACATGAGTTGATCAAAAATTGTTTCTTGAAGTAAAAGATAGTTATATGTTCATCAATAGTCAAAATGTCAACATGAGGTTATCAAGATTTTTCTTTAGAGTGTACTAGTAAATTGTTTCTAGAATTAGTAAGTGACTGCATAATAATCTGGAAAGTAACAGAAGTGGGACATTAATAGAAAAAAACTAAATTGACAATTATTAAGAGGATTGATTTACGGGAAACTAACATGGAATGGAACAACATGCTAACTTTCAAAGTTGGGTCCCACTAGGTTGCAAAAAAAGTCTAGTTCATTCACTGTGCACAAGAGTACGAAGAATTTGTCCTTTATGAACTCATCAGAAATCAACCTTACTAACCACTTTTCTCAATAGCGAGCAACTTTAACTGTATGAAACTACCAAATCTTCCCCATGTAAGTATTTCTTGTGAGTGTGAAATTCGTTTACGTTATAAGTTGAGATCTTTTTACTAAAGACGGGGAACAACAAAGTTGACAACTGTTTTGCCTTCTTTTAGGAAATGTTATGACTGTCCAGTCTATTTGTTACAGGATCTGCAATTTCCGATGCACATCATCTCTGAAAGAATTCAATAGTCTATCGTTACTTGCTTCATTCAATTCGTTCAATGGTGTATACTCCGTTGATATGAAATGATGATTACGTTACGGTTAATGCTGTATGTATGCCCTTTTGATGCGTAACCCTCTTATCAAATATTAAAAGATAGTTACTTATTCTCTTATGAATCTATTGTATTCGAATCCGACTTTGGAACTATATATACTACATGGTAATATTTCGAAATGACTCACAGATAGCGAACAGAAGTTGTGATATATATATATATATATATATATATATATATATATATACTTTTCATCTTCGAAATTTGTGTTTTCGTGCATGTTGAGAAGAAATTAGTTCGGGCAATGAGCCACTCCTGTTATGTGACGGCTAACGATACTACCTGAATGCTCAGACTTTAGTACGCGAAGCGGCGTTCGAACTCATGGCCAAGTGGTTGAAACTTAGCTGCCCTAACCAATGAGCCACAACCACTTAGGAAATGAAGATTGATGATAGTGTATGGTAGTTATTTAGCATCGACGAGATAATCGGCTATCTCTCACAGGATGAGAATACTCCGCTGCAGTCCGTTCTGTCATGTTGTACGGCTGTAAGACAGTCGTTAAAAGTAGACGACATGAACCGGTTGTAGGGTTTTGATCATAGATGTCTTTGTAGCATTGCTCGTGTTTGGTGGAATCACCATGTGACCAATGTTGAGATCAAATGAAGGGTTCTAGGCAAGACAGCCAAGTCAATTGATGCGGTTGCGAACCTTAGTCGACTGAGATGGCTTGGAGACATACGTGCATGCCGAGCCACCGCCTACCTCAACGTGCCATGATAAGGGAAGCTGGATTGGGATGGAAAAGGGTTCAAGGTGGTCAGACCAAGACCTTGCATCAGCTGATGAAGTCACTAACTGTTGGGCTGAGCCGTGTGGGGAGATGTAGACTGCGTGGTTGGGGTCCTCGAGACGAAAGGTAATAGTGGTTGAGGACACTTGGTGATATGTCTGAAAATCGGTCAACGTGACGCAGGTGTATTCACTCCTTGACATCTTCTAAAGCATAAATGTTTGCACTAACACTTATTTTCAGATTGTTTATTTTCTCACACTATTTTATCTACTTTGATATCACTGGTTTTCTATGAACCTGTTGTCTGTGTACTAGTGTGAAATGTGGAAACTTCAACCGATACACTCCTGAGAAAGGTTCTACGTTGATTCTGTCTATCTGTCTGTTCTGTTCACAATCTTCATTGTAAATGGTGAATCCACTAGGCGAATATTACTATATTTTGAGGGGTTGTGGAGATTTGGAAATATTTCAAGTTGTTATTCATCGAAGACTGACATCAGTTGGAGGAACAAAGGAAACCTGGTCGGGGAACCTGAAGGTCGCGGGTTCGATCCCTGCTGGTGGGGTCGTGGGTGCGCACTGCTGAGGAGTCCTATACTAGGACGAAACAGCTGTCGAGTGCTCCCAGGTTTCCTTTGTTCCTCCAACTGATGTCAGTCTTCGATGAATAGCAACTTGGAATATTACTATAGTTAAATATAGTGTTCGACAAGAGAGGCAAACCAATCGACGATGTGAACCTGGGCTGACGTATTTGGGAAATGAATGATGCATTTCAACTTACCGTTAAACGACCCAGTTGTAGGAGAGATTCTGCGTTGTTTTTGACTGATCTGACTGAGTCCTGCTGCACTACCAATCTACAGAAGTTGTAAAAAGTGAACTCGGGATGCGTTTCAGCGACTGAACAGTATCACGTTCGCCGTGGCACCTGAAGAAATGAAGTGGTCAAGAGTCCTTGACCAGACAACCAAATATCCAGTACTCTCAGGTTTTCAGCTGATATGAACCCGTTTTGAAAAATTCTTTGAAGGCAATTAACTTTCATTAACCATTGATGGAGTTAAGTCGGTTACACAGAGGTACTCATCAAGATTGTTTACATTTCTATTTTTTTAGTTTGAGTAGATGGTTTTATGCTTTTTGATGTCTCATGTGTGAAGCCGTCACTGAAAATTGCATTTGGTGAACTCTGTTTACAGGTGGAACACGTTTTTTATACGCATAGCTTGTCTTATGGGATCTCTAACTAACTGTGTCATACTTTCTCACCTTATATTTAAGATATCGATTGAATTTGCCACCGAAGTAGTTGACGTGTTTCAGATAGACGGTAACTTCTTACTGTAGGATAGAAAATCGTTGTAATCTTTTGCTGTCACTTGCTAGAAACCTAGCAGTCTTTAAAGTAAAATGACCAATTTAAATCAGGGTGATGGGTTGATTGATATGTAATGTTAACGAGCCTTAACATACAACGGGACTACTTTTTAGCATTTCACAACTTTCAGTGGATTATTCTACTAAGTTTGACTTGTTGACGGTGCAACTTTCAACCGATTAATTTGTCAACTTTGAAAAACTTTTTCCGCGATTTACTTGGATGTGAAATATTAACATTGACCTGTTGGTGATTTTTACTTTATTATTTTTTTTTAACAGACTATGTTGATTGTCTTATCAATGATTACGTACTTTGGTGTTATTACAAGTAGTGCACCGAATTACGTTTGGATTGTAATATTACGACTTATCGTTGGATTTGCTATTGGCGGTGCAAATAGTAGGTTAGTTTATCGAATTATTTTTCACAACATATGAAATAAATGTGAATGATTGTTCTTTTTAAATATAGAGTGATCATTAACGTGAGATCACGTCCTACCATTGTTTGACAGATATCAAAATACACATTTAGTGCATTTTTTTCGCATATCTATTGTTGAACAATACTGCTGACTTCATCTCGTAATACGAAAAAGATGGGCACGTGTTGAGAATTCTTTTCAGTGGGAACTTTTGTTGTTTTCTATCTGGTCTTTGAAACTGACTCAATGAATTAGTGTTTTAGACCACGTCATTCACAATTTTCATAACTGCTCAACATGCACAAATGGCGGTTTTTGTTTATTTTGTGCAGAGTTTATAATCAAATACTATATACGATACCGAAATAAAATAGAGGGTTTTAAACGAGATATAATTCGTCTCACTGAAGAGTTAGATGTCTCCATGTATTCCAATTTTTCTGTCGATCTGTATAATTAGGGAAAGAATTATAATAAACATTGACTTTTGGTTTTCCTTTCTAGTTTGTTATTTCATTGTAGTACACGTATTTCTTATCTTCCAGCAATCACTATTAAGGCTTATGATGCTCACCACTTAAATGTTTATTATAATTATTACAGTCGTGTTCTTGTATTGAATGGTCAAAGTGATAGGCCACCTTAAAACCTTGCTAAAAGGTGTAGATATGTTCTATTGTTTTGTTCTATTGTTGTTCTATTGTTTTCCTCTGATAAATTTACTTTTATAAGATGTTCTTTTTTGATTCAGTAACAATCACTTTTAAAGTATATTTTGAATACGGACAGCACCGTAATTTCAAGCTTCAGGTATTTTGAAGTACTGGATTGAAGGTGAGCTGAAAATCTGGACGGTGGCTGGACTCGAACCAGCTACCAGTCTATTGTTCAGCGGGTTGAATTTTCGACAGCGACGCAATAATATTGAGAAAACTTTTGATCTTACATTGTTTCCACACAAAATATATTCATTATGTAACAGAACAGATTGTATCAAGTTAATTCGGGTGGAAGGATGATCATTCTTCATCAGTTTAGTTCTCTTAGTCTCTCTGTTAATTTATTCATTGAACCAAATAAAACATGAAATACTACATGGATTGTAGTTACTGCCGGTTTTTGTAATTTTATTGGCTGAACTTATTTTCATTTGTATATGATACGTAAATAAACACGAAAGAATATAGGTAACTTTTTTGTAAGCCATTCTCATCCGGATAGATTTTGTGGGGTTTTCAACTCATTCTGCTATTAGTACTATTATTATTGTTCACATCTGTTTCCTCCGTTAGTCAAATTTTTTGATCGCAACTACTAATGAATTTATTGATTAATTTAGGAGGGTAATTGCTAATGAGTATGGTGTCCTTAAAGTATCGGACATCTCTTAGATCTGTCTTACTAATAAGCTACTTGACCATTTTATGAAGCCAAACTTAACTGTGGCAGAAATGACTCAGCACATTTCCCGGATATATAGAAAGTTCTACTACCTATATCACAACGAAGGAGAGAGAATTAGAACTAAATATCGACTGATCACTGGAGAGCGGCCAATTTCATGTTGTTTAGTGCTAAGTACTGATCGAATTTTATCGATCTTTTTACAATGTGACCATTAACCTAAGAGGCTCACTATCGCAGTGCACTATATAAACGTTGTCTAAAAGCTGTGGATTTACCGTGATATGATTATGGGACAATAAATTGTTTCTGAAAGGTAGTCCATTAAATAAATTCGTCTCACTTTTTTATGCATGTAGTAAATCAGCTGAAATGAAATTATATTCAACAACAATGTCCAAGGTTTATTTGTGAAATAGCTGGCATTTGCACTTACCAATCCTTTCAGGTTTCTTTAGACGTGGTTATTACAAAAAGAATTCTGTTTTCTTCTTTAAACTATCGGGGTTCAAATCATTTTAGTTCCATACCTCATAAAAATATTCACGTTATATTTTCTCACGATACTAGATGCGCAGAAGGTAACTGATTTTGTCATTAAGTTCTCAGCCCTTTAGATTATTCAGTGCTGTCTTATAGGCGGTTATTTATGACCTGAATAGCTTAGAAGTAAAGTCTGTGATTTGACACTCAGCTACACGAGTTCAGACCTCTTATGAGCTATCACTTTCCCGATAGCTATAAATTTCCCTTGCTGATGAACACCAACAAGCACGACACCAGGATCTATGGCTTCCTGCCACGTTAGCATCTAAGAGCAGGATGAATGTACTGACTCACCACTTATATTACTGTACCCACTATGCTGTAAAAACTCATTTCAGCATCATGTGTTATTTGAGTGCTGCTAAGGCAAATATTTGGTACTTATAGGTATCCACTACAAAATCTATATTGAGTTCACGAGTATCGTTATATAACGCGTTGTTGTGCATGAATTATAAAACATTGAATTCTTCATCCAGAAAACTTCAAAGTTTGATGGCATGTTTCACTTGTGGTATTCAAGCCAAGTTTTCTGCAACAGTGTAGCTAGTGACTTAATTCATTTGATAACGTAGTGATATACTGAGTAAATATAAAGTTTGTAGCCTGGTTCTTATTTCTTAAATGGATTATGTTTTGGTCAGTTTCTTATATTTAACGCATATTTCATTGTAAAAATAGTCGAGTGTGTTACTGAATAGTGCTTTGTTTCAATTATCAGTTTTGTATGCCATCTAACCGCAAAATGGTATGATTGTTTGGCTAAGCTGGCTCTTCATTATCACAGTTTGATGCGATAGACAATCATGTGAAGTTGTAAGGATAAATATTCTTTGGATATGTGGATAACTTTGCTTTCTGGCATTGAAGGCCTATGACTTCAAGGAATTGTTTACTTCTTTTTGAATTCCTGATTGACTCATGATCATAGAGGTTGTTGCTGAGTTAGTTATTCATGCTGCTTGTATGTAGTATATCAACAGTTAATTACACTGTAATGAATATCATGTTTCACCTAGTGATATCTACGGAAGTCTGTGTAATTATTTCGTTTTTACGATAATCCATTTTATTTGATATTATTAATGATCTACTTACTGACTGCTGTTTTTTAATGCTTATTCAATATCCTTTCAACTATTGTTGTACTAACTTAACAACTTTACTTTTCTGTGTTCTTTACATTTTGAAGCTTCACATTACTCTCTGAATTTCTGACTGTTAAACATCGAGCTAGAGTTCTATTAGCTTTCAATGTAAGTTACTATTTAAAGCATATCTGATTCACCTTTTATACATAATTCAGATTTATAAGAGGAGAATTGTGTGTACATGCATCTATTTTGTTTCAAAATGGCGTTGGAATGTTGTCATAACATTATTGAATATAGATATCTATAAGTATCACTTATTTGGACTCACAACGGACTATTAATCCGTCTCATACTTGTGCACATACCGTTCTAAATATCTTAACTTATTTACATAATATAACTTTCCAGATAACGCCTTTCCTTGTATTAGCTTTTAATATAAATTATTGAATAATCAGTCAGTTAATTAATCCATTTTATACTTGTAAAATCAACAGCGTTACTTCGAAGCTTTATCATGGAAAAGAAAAACTATTCTCAATAGTTTTAGTGTACTCAGCCATGATTTATGGAGGACTATTAGCACACTATCTTGAGGTTGAATAGAGCATTTAGCAGGTAAACGGAGAATCGACAGCACACTAGGAAGCTTTTGCCTTTTGATTGTGTAGATGAACATTAAAAACTTGAGATCTGACATAATTATGTCGAGCTGAGTTACCATTGCTCAAATTACCACAGTAGGGGGAAAACCAAGAAGAGAAAAGGCAGCGAAAGTAGAGTGATAGTGTCAATAGTGGTAAGAAAAACCTTTGAGTCAAAGGGGGCAAAGTAAGAGGGATAAAACGAATATTGTGACGAAAAGTCGAAGATTTATGGAAAATCAATAACTCGCATACATTTAGGCCGCTGTGACCAATTTTTATTCGTGGCTATCAGAATCTGCAACCATTGATTCTAAATGTATCGATGGTACTGTAACTGATCTACGGTTATATTAGGCACTATTTTTGACAATTAACTTCTGTTCTCCTATGTGTCGTGTCCACTGTTTACAATCCTTCCACCCAGTGTAAACTAGTCAGGGGAATTTAGGTCTGGTCTTTTTTCACTGACCGCATATAAACCATACATCTCATAGGATTTAATTATTTTACTTGAAAGATATTTAGCGATCGCCTAGTAACTGTTTACTTCTGCATCTTCAAAGTCAGTTATTACTGCATGATATCCACTTATGAAAAATTACTTAGTTTTCGATTTTCGCATTATATGATTTGTGCAAAGTTTGTGAGCAATTTATGAATTGTATTTTGTTTTGAAGCCTCTAAAAAGTGCTTTTAATATTTGAAACGGTTATGCTTACGTTTGATCACTAGCAAAGTTCTGTCTACAATTCACATATAAGATTAATGCATATTGTGAGAGATATCTATAATGCCAGCGATGGGCTGGTTATTTGATATTCCCAAAACATTCAAGATAATATAGTGGAGGATAGTTGAACACGTATTTAGCGCCCATATAATTCTCATTTCACATTCAAGTACTCTTAATCTTTGTCCTTTCAAAGTTATACACCCTTCAGCTCTTTTTAGCGTAAATTCTCTAATCACTCTCTTCTTTTTCATCATTCTGGATAATAGCTATGCTGCTAAGCTCTATTTTATTGTTTTCATTGTGGACAGTCGCATCACAATATATCATACGGAAGTACGCATATAACTCATTGATCGAAAACAAACTCCGCATAACATATATACCAATAAGTGTGCCATAGAAAATAACAATACAATTAAGAAGACAAAGTGATATATATATATATATATATATATATATATATATATATGATATTGAAAACAAAAGCAAAAATAGATTTGCGTTACTAAACAAACAGTTCTAAGCATAGATTCAAGAGAAGCATTCGTTAGTTTCATTTTACATCTCGCCGACTCAAGAAAAGTGTAATATTATCGCCACTCGATTCAGTCTCAGCCATATCTGCTCCTATTGTTTGAAGCCGCTAAGTTTTATCATCTCACATTCCATCCTGTGGGTTGTCGTGACTGGTAGCTCCTACCTCAATGTGATTCTTGGGCTTGCATTCTAATCACTCAGTCAGGATCATCATGGGACTTAGCATTACTGTGTAGCAGTCCGCGTTGCCACACCTCATATCACCACATTAAGACAGATGGAGCAAGATGAAACAGGTAATCAAAGGTAATAAAAAGTAGTGAAACACGAAGAAGAAGAACAATAATGAAATTTGGTAAAATGATTAAGAGGAATAAAGATAATTTGTGGATACATCTGTGCTACTGAGATCGATTCTGAACCATATCATCTAGAGTCTCGAACTACCGATTTCGGATGTCAAGTGGACCTCACCTGGAAAGTCTACTTTTCCACAAACGATGCAAAGCAATAGTCAAATACTGTATGGTCTGATGTCGTGTTGTTGTTTAACCGCCTTCAACCTTTTCTAGCTTGCACCTTCATGAGCTAACATTACGCAACGGATGGGATGAAAACTAGGCATGTGCAACACATCCCTCAATCATGAATCGATGAAGGTCCACAACCTCATTGACTAACTTTCCTCTTCTACCAGGAACTCTGCCTGACTTCTGTGTTACTGAGCTGGTGGCACCACGACACGTCCTATGCTATACAAGCAATGGGGGTCAAAGACCTGATAACTTTTCATGTCCTCTACCTTCAGTGACCATGTTTCACAGCCAGATGGCAGGACATAGCGGGATGTAGCTCAGTACACTCAACCTTCAATCGGCAATGGGATGTCACCGCCGCTCCATAGATGACGTAATTTGGCGAAGTCCATGCAAGCCATATATATCCATGCACAGATTTCATTGAAGACTAACACATCAGGACTGATTTGACTTCCCGAGTAAGTGAAGTGGTCAATGTGCTTAACCTCTTTGCTCCCTATTGCCTGACAGAGCACCAATAAAAGCAACTCCTGAAGCAACAATTTGTGTCCGGCTGGCGAGAAATGCATCCCAGAAATCCTAAAATCGCCACTTAAGGTTTCCAGAAGACTCTACATCTTATTAGGATCTTCACGTAACAGGACTGTGTCATCTGCGTCCTCTATATTTACCAAGAATTCTTTTGTGAAAAGATCAGTCTCTGTCAAATTTGATGAAGAGAGGGAAACCTCCACAAGCACAGCTATTATAAAGTTGAATAAGATTAGAGACAGTGGATATCATTGATTGACGGACACCATTCGATGAATATAACTCATATGAAAACCCCCCATAGGTTCTAACATGGCCACGCGTGCCAAGTTTAGAAACTTCGAAAGAGTGACATACTTACTCAGCACCCCTTTCAATGAAATACACTGCTATAAAGCCTCTCGGTCGACGGAGTCAAATGCTACGTTCAAATCAAGAAGTGTAGCCAGTGTCGGGCGCCATTAAGCGTGTCTCTGTTCCAGAACCTGTCGGACTTTGAATGTCTGGTCGATGCACCAACGACCATGCCTGAAATCTGTCTAGTTCTCGATCTCCATGCAGACGTCTGATGATTATGAAACATACAGTCGTAGACAGTGTTTGTCACATTGTTTGCCCCGTGATTATCACGGCAGGACTTTTTTATTTTGTTTAAAACTGGGGCAGTCGGCGCTTGGGACCAGTAAAATGAGATCATATCTGAGTTCCATACACTAAATAACACGTAAGATAACCTGATCAGTAACCCGAGACCACCTCTTTTAATTACCTTTGGTATTAATCAGTCTGGCCTTGCTGCCCCGTATCGTTTCACATTACTTATAGCCTTCTTAACTGTGACAAGAGGCCGTATTTGAATATTCTATTTTGGAATCTAACGGAATAAAGGGAAACTTAAAAAAATCCAAATGTACGAAGCAACCACATAGATTCTTGTGCAGGAGGTAATCAGCCACACCTGTTGTGGGGAGGCTAAAGATACTACCTAGGTCCCTAGACCTTTTTTAGTGAAGTGAGGTTCGAGCCCGTAAACCAACTAACTACAGCTCCACAGAGGATAACTGAACACTAACTGGACGCCAGTTTAACTGCTCCTTGAAGTATTCCATGCTTACTAGTTGAGGGATCTTTAGAATTCCTCAGATTCACCATATTGACCAGGTGAGGTGAGCTGAGTAACAACACTTAAGTTTTATGTACGCGTCTAACAAACAGAGTTCATGTATATGGTCTGAAAAGCCAGAGTCCTGACTAGCGCCGCAGTTTGTTTCATTTGAAGGGCGGTGAAGAAATAGAACGCTTTGATAGGTATTGTGGAGTGTGGTTTCGAGAGAACAGGGATGCTGTTCTGCGAACAAGAATTGTTATCAACATCTGCAGAGTTGGAAGAAACCAAAATGAATTAGGATTTTTAACAGATGGTTTTGATGAAAGATTATTAGTAAGGATGTAGAACTTTGGAAATAATCTGAGGGAACTTGATTGGTGACAGAGGTCTAAGGTCAGTTGTCAATTTCCGGCTTCCCACACCATATAAGCTTACTTCTTGAGATACCTAAGGCAGTGCAGAGTGTTGTTTTCGGAACCGACCTTATCTAAATCCTCTACCCTTTACTGAATGATGGCAACAGCATAAACTTCTGGTCATCATCTGGAGACACCTCACTATTATCATGCACCCTTCTGCCAGCAGTAGGAATTCGCCCTCTGACTCTATTATAATATAGTTATTTTACTCCAAAGGTAACTGCTTTGGGTGTTAGAGCCATCTAACAAAACTTTCTGGCACTGTAGAGCCTCAATGAACAGCATAACAGTTATTTGATGTAGGCGGTATCATTCTTTTTTTCCCTTGGCTGTAGCATGATACAATCTACAAATTTCTAAAACCTGATTGACTGAGCTCAAGGAGACATCAGCTGGGGTCTTTTTCATTCAAAACTAACTAGTTTTCTCCTTCATGTGCCTTGGAAACAACTTGTACGGTGTGGAATGCCGTAAAGTAACAACTAACAAAGTGCTTCCAGCAGCATAAAAATCTGACTAACCATAGCCTGTAATGCTTACTTTTCTCTCCTCCTTGCCTTCATTTCCTGACGCCACCACTAAGCCTCTTAAAGCTCACTCAACTTCTCACCGTATGATAATGGCTAAAGCTAGCATCCAGTCATCCTC